AAAATCCGCAGTTTCATCGCGGTAACTTCGCGTTTTTTTTTATCAGAGCACCTAAGCTGGAGTTTGTACGATGAGCGAATTGTATGTTCGTTTGCCTATGAAATGAACTCAGTAGCTGGCTCCGTGGAGGCAGAAGATTGGTTGGACATATCGGAATCGCTCTCTCTGCCTTCACTTTCTTTAGATGACGTTCTTAATGAGGTAACTCTCAGGAACTTACGCTTACAGTTGAAAACTTGAGATGCCGTAGTGAAGCTGATCTGCACCGACATTCTCTTCGGTTTAGGTAAGCCAGCTCGACGATGATTTATTGGACGGACACCTGTCTGGAAGCGTTGACCAAATCACTCCACCACCAGCTACCGTTACCACTAGCTATAAATTGGACAATGCTGTTAAGACCAAACGTTTAGGTATGTTTAAGATACTTTGAACGTTACTTACACATGGTTTAAGGTAGGGGCTCAAACCGAGGGCTATCTTATGCAGTAAAAATGTTTTTTCGTGGAGATAACTGGAGCCCAATTTTATATACATACGTCGTCCGGATTATGTAGAAAATAAAATTATTGGCGGTTATTGGGAACTCTGGCGTTGCGGACATTGAAATTCCCAATATAGCCATAGGTAATCCTGTCTGCTGGCAGAAGTGCTTCCCTCAAAATAAGTTATATCGAATCACAAAGCCACAAATTACTCTCTTTCAGATTCGATTAGCCATCAATTAGTATCTTTTCGACCAAAGAATGGATCTGCTGTTGCAGTCGCATATAGTGGAGGCTACATCGCTGTAGTAACAAGCAAAGGCTCGTTATTGCTTTTTGATGCCGAGGTATGATGTTTTCATAAATATGCGTGCATCCAAAAGTCGACTTTCTTGGTTGAGGAGATTGTAGTTAAAGCTTGACCATGATGCCGCAGTGTCTTGCTGTAGGCTCATTAAAATGGAAGTTTTTTTCATGATTGAAATAAGGCATCAGCGAGTGAAATAGCAAACTATTTAGCAAAGGCGGTGTAGGAGGATTGTGGTGGTCCTTCTGGATCGTGCTATAGTTGATCGTTGCATTTTAGCCGCGTAGGACAATGGTATAGGTGAATATGAAGCTCAGGAGCGTTTAGGGGGGTGGGGGGGGGGAGCTCTATCCGTCTTTCAGCTTAAACTTTTTCTTTGCAGAAGCTGATTCTTTCTAAGATCATGACCATGTTATGGGATTCTTTGCAGAAGCTGATTCTTTCTAAGATCATGACCATGTTATGGGAAACTGTAAGCGACAATTTGGTCACTTTTTTCGATATAGCAGACCGAAGGAAAAAACTGTTTTTTTGTAAAAGCGCCTCAGAAGTATTGTTGAATTTCACGAACTATATTGGCTATTAAAGCCAAATATCAAAATGCTCCTATCTTCACTGTCTTCGAAACAATACTTCAAAGTTTTCGTAACGATCCAATCCATTCAAGGGTCGGTTGGAGCGTTTTCGACACGGGAACGAACTGGATGGCTCGGCTTCGTGTGTCGCATTTTCTGATGGTGGAGGGCATATTGCTGTTGGATATAGTAAAGGTTTTGTTAAGGTGGGAGAAGAGAAGGATAAAGATAGTTAAATGGAATCATCCAGCGTTTTCAGATTATAAATACTAAAAGTGGTGCTGTAGAACAGGTAATACAAGAGGCAGTGCAATTAGGACGAGGGGTTTTGGAGATCTTGTATCTCGGCTCTCGTCGAACCATTTTGTCCCTCGACAGTGGCGGATCGGTTTTCGAGATCAATACACGACATAAGTTCCGGATCGGAGGAAAATCACGCGTTTGTGCTTTTTTCGTATTTGTTCATCTCTTATGTTATAAATCAACATGTTTTTCAAGATTCGATGTGTGTTTTCCGGCTGCAATGGGGAAGTCATCCACATGCGTTTGCTACCCTACTCTCTATTAGCTTTACTCACAGTGTCCAAAGTATGGTCATTTCTGACTTTTGATTACACGACTTTTTTGTTGTGAATTTCTATGAATGATCACTATAAAACCGTTCAGATTTTGGTTGTTTCCACACGTCTCGGTGGATCGGTTGTTTGTGTATTTCCAATGGAGACTAGCCCTAGCTATCCACCCTTACTGGACTTTATTGAAGAGGTGACCATTGAATTTCAATCTTCTCGTCTGATTTGATTACACACGATCTCCTGTATAGCAAACCTGACTAGAGAAGGCTCATAGGTCGAAGTGGCCAACTGGGATGAGACATATATGACGTTTAATGGCCTCGAATGTGCTTACTAACATTGTGAAGCGGCTCTTTGGTATGAGAAAATCTAAAGGGTTACTCTCCATACCCATCGATATAATAAGGGTATGCTACAATACGATATGCTTTCTTCGCAAACTTTTACGGCTTCTAGTTGGGCAGAGGTCTATTGTATTGATTTAATTCATCGCTTTTCGACAATAATTTGCCTTCCGATTAATTTGGAATCATTTCCCCCGAAGCATTTTTCACTAATTTTTTCTTGTGAACTATTACGAAAATCACTCTCTTGTGTGTGTGTCTCTCTCTCTTGATGCCTTTGAGAAACTTCTGCTGTGCAGACTGCGGGCCTTTTTTGTGGTCCATACTCTTCATTTTCGTGGACGAGGCGGGGTGTTCTTGAAAAAGGTCTAACTGGGTTTCTGCCAATTGAGGAGCATTTGAAGGGTGTTCTTACCACTAGAGGGTCGGGCCGGATATGCCATTCAACGTGAAGGTTTTCAGTCGGGATTTTTTTAACAGCAGTAATATGAGCTAAATACAGTGAACAAGTTCAAGATTTCCCAAAAAGTAAGTGATTTGTTGTTAAACGTTGATGTAATTATGCCAGACCATTTCCTTATTGAAAGCCGCAAAAAAGAGAAGAACGCATGAAAGCAACGAGTTTTGACATCAAACCCTCAAGTTTGACTCTGCTATTGGACCACTCTTCTTGTTCGCTTTTCTCATTGTCTTTCATACATTTGGCAAACAAGGTGGCAGTTCGGAGATCAGCGCTCGTAATTGTTTCCGCACATTTATACGTTACAGTTCTCATCATAGTTGCACTTCCACCTAGTGTCCTTCCCTTGTTATTATCATGATTTTTGATAGAAAGGCAACTTTTGGATTGCAGGATAAGAATGGAGAGCACAAGCTTCTCCGTATCTGCGTCGGACGTGGTAGCTGCTTGAGCATATTTAGGTTCAATCCCCAATATATTGGCACAAAAAGGAAGGCTGCCATGTTTGTTTACAAGATCAACTTAGCACAGGTATGTTCTCTGTTAGTCATCATATAAAAATTGTTATACTTAAAATTCTGATTTCCCTAAGGTAGATTACAAAAATATGTAAGTTGAGGAAATAGGCACAGTCTGGAAATGTCGCCATTTTGTCTAATGACGGTTTCAGACCTTTCTTTATGTTCTTTCTTAGTTTACTTAGTTTACTTTTAGTGTAATGGAGATTTTCCTCATGCTCTCTCCTCTCTCAGTTCGTATCGGTGAGCCAATGACTGTCTGTGTCCACTGTCGACGATATGAAATGAGCGCAGGGAGAGCATGAGGGCTATATTGAGGTCTAATAAAGGGGTAGCGCTCAAGTATGCGAATTTGGAGGACTCGGCATATGAATTGAACGTAAAGGAGTCTCAATAAAATGACCTTAATATTGCAGCCAATTGTAAATTTTGGTTTCCTCTCGAAAACGTTTCTGGTCGCGTTCGATGAGAAAGGTGCCTGTTTGACAATCAGGGATGATAAACAGATGTCTTCACCACACAGCTCACCATCTAGGATACCGCTATTGTTTTCATCATCAGATTTCAAGGTATTCGAGTTTTTTTCATCTTCAATTTTGTCCAGCTCTAGATCTGTAACTTCAGGGTTTAACAACGGGGGGTAATGTTAGCCCAGCTATGCAATGCTTGGCAGATAGGGCATGCTATCAAGCACTTTGCCGAAAAGGCTCACCTGATACTTTGATCGCACTATCGCATGACGAGTTATTTGAGCTGACCCTTTTATCCGAAGATGATCAGTTGGAGTTGTTTAACTCGAGGTTAGTTTATTACTTTGTTTATCCTTGAAAATCATCTATTTTGATCACTTTTTGATGTTGGAAAGAATTTTTTTTTTTGCCGAGGAATTCGCTCTCAATATCTCAGTCGAGATAGCAGTAGTAGAAGTATTATTTCAGAGGTGATTTCATATCCGCCTGTTACTATCTGTTCGATATTCATCGCGGTCGGATATTAGCCGAGCCGAAGTTCCTGGAACGTCTTCCAAATCTTCTCACTGAGCAGATGAAGCGGCTCGTTGATCTGGCCATGGGCGGTTGTAAAGAAGGAAAAGTATCTGATCTTATAGCGCATTACAAAGTGCGTACTGTATTTCTGATCTAGCTTCCTCTTGAGCATTCAGTTCATCGGTTCTTTTAGACTTATATCTCAATTCTTTTGACCGTTAGCGTGGGAACACAACTGTATAACTATCTTTATGAGGAAATATGGCCCAGGTATGTAACTGTTCATGCAGCTATTCGCCTTTCTTTTGCTTTTGTCTTTCTTTGGTGCTCACACTTGAACTGAGGACAATCACCAGTGTGCATTTCTCAGCTTTAATAATAATTGGTTTCAGAGTAGAACGTGATATGTTGTCTCGCTACATATTTCTTGAATCACTTGATGAGTTTGTATTGGATGGAACATTGGAGTCACCTCCTCCAGCATTAGTTTCGGCCTACATCACCCATTTGGCATCGGAAGGGCATTTCTCGCAGTTGCAGGCTTCAGTTGTTCGGTTTCCCATACAATCAATTGATCTGCATTATGTGAGCGGCAAAGCCAAACCTTCTAGAGAGAGAATGTTTCTTGACATCAGAACTTTTTAGGTGATGTCAACATGCAGACAGAATGGCCTTTATGATGGAATTATTTACGTGATGAACAAAGCTCTTGGGGATTATCTTTCACCGTTAGAGGTGAGTTTTTCTCCAAGGAACTCTGTCATAGGTTTATCTGCTTTTCTTGGCCATAAAATAAAGTGCTGAAAAGGCATGTAGTTGAAAAAGGAAATCTAAAGATCTTCCGTGTTGCCTTCCATTCATGTATGACTTCTCCTAGCGGTCGCTAAGCTCTGGGCTTTGCCATGTGGAGAAAAGTGATTCTAACCAAGCACAAAGAGTGGTTCTTATTTATTTGGGGCATTGTTCCTGGAAATTATTCATTTCTCTGGTTGCTTATTCTCAGTCATGGTGATCTTCTTACGTTTTTTTCGTGCCTCTTAAAGGCTTAGCACCGCTCTAATCTAAAGTGAACCTCCGCCTGTTCCCTACCCAAAACGGAATAATTTGTTGACTACTCAAGATGCTATTCGTTTTTTTAGGAAATGTTGAGCGATGTATCATCCTTTGCTTCTAATGAAGTACTGTCAGATTCTGAAGTAGAGCGTGGTAATCGTCTACTGTTGTATTTACACTGTTGTCTTGCTGGCCATGCGTATCCTTACGGTCTTTTACCACCAGAACAACTGTCTACTGTGCCTCTCCAGGTTAGTCAAGCAAAACAGAACCCTAACAACCATCGGTACGGTCTCTTTTAGGTTTATCGTTGTATCACTTCTTTGAAAGGCAAGGATGGTACTTCTTCTGATGAATCATATCCGTATCTCAGGCTTTTGCTCCTTTTTGATGCTCAACAGGTTGATTTCTACATAACTCGTCTGTAGAGATATCAACCGAAATTTTTACTTCAAGTAATGTATATTTTGAAGTTTACTCATGTAATCCGTACCTGTGCTGATGCGCCGATCTTTCAAAGTGAAGGAAGATTACAGCGCCTCGTTGAAAATGTGAGTTTGGTCTGGATTCCTTTTCATATTCTTCGTAGCTATCAAAAAATCCTTATTTGTTCTGGCTTTGACGTTCCCCAAGTGGATACTGTTTAAAGCCGTTTCCGAGCAATGCATAAGTGCCCATTCTTGAAAATGTTTAATTAAAGTTGCACTCGAGCTTTGTACAGTTCACTAGGTTACTGCACAGTACACTGAAGACCTTATAATGCATATTCGATACACAGGGGAAAGTCGGAAGGAGATCATTGGTAGGAATCTCGTTTTCAGCTACTTCTAATTGTCTATCTTCTATGGGAACAAAAAGTCCGTCACTGCGCTTGGTGTAGTGTCTCAGAGAAACCGAGAGGACCAGAGATTTCTGCGCACGATCTCTTCGAATATCTCGATCTCTGTCTTTATTTGTTGTGTGTAGTATAGAATGTTTAAACAATTGTCTTTAAGATCGGTCGGCTCTCAATGGAACTTCGAAATGAGTCTGCTCTAGTGCACTTTCTACTTCTGATCAGTCAGTTGGTGGACATTAGTGGTGTGATCACTCCCGTCGAGATTGTTGAGGACGTTAGCCTAGAATTTTTGTCAGGAATTATGAATGAGCAATGCTTGCCATCGACTTTTAGGGACTGTTCGTTTAGGTTGTTACAACATTGATGCGAATGAAGTGGCAGCATTCTTCAGCAGAACTAGCTATTGTCGAAACTTTGAAAGCAGTACCGCCAATAAACAGAGAAGCCGTTCTTCGAATGGCATCTTCCCCCATGAGGTGAGTTGAATTTATGTCATCACTTCTTAAAGTTTCTCGTACGCTTCTATAGATCAGAGGATTCTAAAAATGGAGAGGAGCGTTTCAGTCATGGCATTTTTTTCCTTGTGTCGGATACCAGTGAGGAAATACATAGGCTCCCACTCCAGGCGTCCCCCTTTGGTGTTACCTGTGTATGTTAACATAAAAGATCGCGATGACTATCGTGCACATTACACATTTCAAGTTTTCGAGAGTGGCTAGTCCCGGAACACCTCTGTGGGTTGCTACAGCTCTTACACGAATCCTGCCAACCGTCATTTATTCTCCTCGCTAAATGAAGGCGTCTCGTGGCTATTTTCGCCTTGTATTTCGACTCTTGGTTCACCAAGAAGCAAGCTAGCTATGTCAATATAATTCGATTTCGGCCAACGTTGAGCCTTCTTTTATTCCTCAGTTTTTGCCTATACTTATCTTTCGGGCTCGGTTGGTCCCCTCAAGTGATTTCTTGTATAGCATCCAACATTAAGGCATACATTTTATCGGATGACTAACTTCTCAAGGCATTCGTGCCCTCGAATTATTAAAAGTGTTCAGGAAGGAAATATGCACGTTCATTTATTGTGATGAAAGGAAATTTGTGGATCTCATCAATTGTTACTTACGCGATGCAGAAAACGAGGTTAGAATTCCATGCGTCGGTTAAAGTGCGATCTTTTCCTTACTCCTTTCAGGGCATCTTTTCTGTAATCCGTCGCATTCTTCGCGCCGATCTTACTCAGCAAGAATATCAGGAAGTGTCGGAACTAGTGTGCCAGCTGATTCCCGTGAGCGTTACTGTCCTATCTCCTAGGATCACCAAAGTCTGCGAGAGACTTATAGATAAGATTTTAGCGGTTGGCAGCTGTGAATGCCAGAGAATGTGCTGATCTTGTAATTGATTGCTTCCCGAACTATCTCGTAAATCTTCGCACACACACTGCAGAAGAGAGGAAAGGAAATTATCCTCTGCTGAAGGCTGCATTTGACATCAAGTAGGTGTTTCGAATATCAGTTTGCACATTCCGTCAGCTCGGTAGCGCTGCTGAATTTGTGCTAAAATACCACAGCATGGAATGTTGTGTTAAGGTAGCTCGGGTTGAAGCTGTCCTTACTTCCACTTACTATGGGAATACAATGAGGGTTTTTAGACGAGAAAAACAAGAAACGTTCTTGCAAATGGATGAGGATATTGAAGAACATCTCTTTGGCACTGTGTTCGAGGGTTTGATTAAGGAAAAAGTCGAGGATTTGGACAGTACCTTGCAGGTGGGGTTTGGTATTCTTCTGAGAATCGAAACTTCGCACTGATGAGGAACTTCTGAAGCAATGTTGTCACTTGAGAAACCATTTGCTCCACCCAGTTACCATGCAGAAAATGCGATTGTTCAGGACTTGCTCCTGTATTGGTTACCAACGGGTTCACGTACAGATTTCTGTTTGAATCTCGCCGCTGCAGCTGACTGCACCAACACTACCATTTTATTAATGGAGACACGTAATCGCCTGGATGACGCCTTCGAAATATTGTTCAAGCAAATTGCAGAAAGCCAGGGTGACCAGCAATGTTTTGGTAAGTGGTTCTGAGCGCTGACATCCATTCATAGGAAGTTCAGCGGATGTTTCAGTGCTTTGGCTGGATAAGGGCTTGTCGTTCTGCAGTCGTCACACAAGTTCTGCACATTCGAAGGAATGGCTTATTCGAATAATGCGTAAGGTTACGCGGGCTGTCGTTGAGAATGATACTGCAAGTGAGTAGTATTATACTCTCTTATGAATTGTGTCGAGGGTCCGTTCAGCTTGGGATTTAATTTAGGCCTAGATTTAGACATAGGCATAGCATAATCTGCTGGAGGTTGCATCATTCAGATAAAAACTTAGATGCGACTTGTCAAACACTAGTTTCTTACCTACTCCTTTGCTAGTGATACGGTTCGCGTGCTTTCACGCCAGATCTAGGTTAAGGGGAGCGAGAACTTTTTGGACACTTGAAAACTGCTTCCCGTACATAAGGGGTGTGCATGATACGCCCAAAGACCAAAGGGGTGGTGTTCAATAAGATGACGACACTCTGAGAGAGGTTTTATTGAAAGTGAGCTTAGTTGGCGTGAGATTTACAAAAGCAAAGGACTCCAACTATTATTTTTGTGCAACCTTAAACGACTAAGTGAACAATAAAGAAGGAAGAAGGAAGGAGAAGGAAAAAGAAATCCAGAAGTGCATGATTTTTCTGTTTGCAGACATGGAAATCCGCCTGCAGTCCTTAGCAAGTGGTATTCTGGAGAACGGTTCTGAACATTCCCTAGAGCTTGTTGAATGTCTTTTGGACTACCCTGCCTTCAAGAACGGTCTTTTCAGGTCTGCATTATGTCAACTGTAAATTGCTCTTGTTAATTGATCAGGTTTTACACTCTTTTCTTCTGATGTAGGTGTTTTGCAGAGATTACTCTCCGTTGATCAACAAGATACTTACAACTTGCTCACATGAAACATTCATCATCAAACAGCTCCTCATGTGCATTGTGAGTTGGTGTGATATGTACCTTCAATTTGTGACTGCTGTCGAGGAGCTATTTTCTGTTTTACGACTTCACCCCCTCCAACAGTAGAGGTTTATGAAACTCCGGAAGTTAGAGTCGAGTTAGGCGTTTTCCTTTTAGCGCTCCATGATGTTGTAAAGTTTGCCTAACGAGTTTCAGTGTTTTGTGGTAAAGGGCTATGAATAGTACATAATAGGAAAAATGGGTAATTTGGTTGTGATGTTGAGGCAAGTGAAACACTATTGCATGTATGGCCCAAGGTTCGAATCCCGGAACGACACTGTCCAGGGCTATCAAGACTTTCATCGGCTAGTTAGACTCACGTTCAAATAACTGGCTTGTACATTGACCGGTCACCGCACTTCATTGCAAAGGCATCTTTCATAGTCCACGATCGGTCGCGCGACTGGTCGCGCGACCGGTCGTGGACTATGAAAGATGCCAAAGGCTGCATGCGCATCCAAAACACCACTACGAGTCTGAATGGAAGTCGAATACGGGGACTTATCGAGTCATTTCTCATTACGATCCCCTCAAACCTTCCTGAGTGAGAAAAGCGGGTCGCTTTAATTACAAGGTATGATGTCGTCGACTTCCCGAACCGTACTTCAAAACACTTGTGATTAGTGCCTGATTGTTTCCTGGACTTTTCTATGTACTACTAGAAAATTACCTTACCTTTACTGTAAATGTTCCTGTAACGAGTAGGGTCCCCAGTCCGTTGAGATTCATGCTCTTCACCACACGCCATTGTGCCAGTGAATGGACAATTACCAGATTGTTTCCTGGACTTTTCTATGTACTACTAGAAAATTACCTTACCTTTACTGTGAATGTTCCTGTAACGAGTAGGGTCCCCAGTCCGTTGAGATTCATGCTCTTCACCGCACGCCATTGTGCCAGTGAATGGACAATTACCAGATTGTTTCCTGGACTTTTCTATGTACTACTAGAAAATTACCTTACCTTTACTGTAAATGTACCTGTAACGAGTAGGGTCCCCAGTGTAAAGTGTTTCTTTGTACAATTTGTTATGTTTTTAGGATGAGGAAAGCACTGAAGATCTGTCAGCGTTACAAACATTGTTCTCGAGAAAAATCGGCGACTTCATCGAAGACGAATGCGTACAGTGTCGATCCAGCGTCACGAAAGCTGCATATCTTTTCAGGTATTTCTTTACTGTGATCTACAAAAATTCTTTTTTTTATTCTGGTTTCAGCTGTGGGCACTTCATCCACATGGAATGTGATAATGGTAGCCGTAGATGTCCCTGTATTAATGGTGCATCGAAGCGGTACCTAGACCGTCGACTGGAGATGCATATGTCTATGCTAAGACCACGGTATCAACATAAATTTCAGATGACCAGAGATATTTTTGAAAAGTGGGATGATCCTCTGTTACTTGTACCTCACTGAAATGTTGTTGTTTTACTGTGTGTGCCTTGTAAAGGTGCCTTCGGCTATAATTTAACGACTGAGATCTTTCTGCCTTGTATGAGTGATGTTATGTTATCATGTTGTAAGTTTCTTTAACATCATCTTCGTTTATTTATTTAATGCCCAAATTGCTACAAATTCGAACGATTTGTGTGCTATATAGGTGCTTGAAAGAAACTAGTGATAGCCCTTAATAATTTAGTTTGGCCGGGTTTTAATAGCAAAATGTGATCACTAATAACATATTGAGAATAAAGATTATTGTTATTATCAAAGTTTTATTACCGTCAAACGAGTAGAGTAAATTTTGTAACTGTAAAAGTGAATTTTCGATCAAGGCCTGCCCCTCCAACCTGACATGGTATTATGAAGGGAAAGGTGTAGAGCTTTGATTGATTCTGTCTGCTGGATGCGCCATGCATATGATCCATGTTCGGAATTTGACGAGCATTTAGATGCGTATTTCGCACTTTCTGGATTAACTTTGGTTTCAGTCAACTTTCTGGTCATTGATATAAGTACGTACCGTTCCCTATGGTCACAAAAATTGCCGTGGAACCACTGGAACAAATAAAACAAACTTGGAAATTTGGGGTAAAGTTTGCACCCCTGCAGTACACAATTCAACCAGCTCAACTGGCTTACGTATTCAAAATGAGGCAAAGTTCAACGACCTTACAGTTGTTTTGTACATTCATATGCACATCTTACAAAGCGGTCCATTCTTAAAATGCGGACTAGGAGGAGCGAAAGCCATGGTAATACATACGTCACGATGGAGGAACAGGTCCAACTTCATCTTACACACCTCTAGAACCCCACTGGTGTACTTCCCGAACTTTAAAGGTCCTCGGAGCAATGAGCAACTGTTACGGATCAAACTTTTCGGAAATCCTCCGAGAAAATTTGTTCCGAATTCAAGGATGTGATGGGTTTGGAGATTTGGCCTAGATTTTAAGGGATAATTTTCAGCTGTTCTACAAGTGGAGTAAGATGTCAATAAATTGAGCTCGAGATAGGTAGTGAGTGCCAAAAAGTACAATATTAAAAAGGTGTGCGGACCATGTACTTCCAAGCCAACCTATTTTTGAGATGGTCAGGCCTCCAAGCAACTTTACCCCTTTATCGATGGACTAACCGCAAATGAATCATGGAACTGGCCGACACCTTTCTCTTCTTTTTCACCTTCACTCTATTCATAACACAAAAGGTCATAATGATTTTGATGTTTACAAACTACATTAGGGTATTTTCGGGGTTCCTGTATAAAAGATGAGTTTCAATTGGCAATAAGTCGTTTCACTCCATCATTCAACAAGTATGAGCTGGTTCTTGCAAAGCCCTCTTTCACTTGCTTTCATGCCTACTCTACCCTGTCCGTGAGTTATACCACTCACTAATTGCATTCATCCTATCTACGCTGACGCCGACGTTAGCCTCCTAGGCGAACATTGGCGTTGGCGTCGCTAGTATGAGTGAACCTCTTTGAGTACTTCCTTTACATACTCACCCTTTTACTAGGTATTACCACTGTTGTCTTAATTTTTTTTATACTTTATCCGATGTTGGTGTTAGTGTTTTATGTGACGATGTTTTGGCAATTTCTTCTTCGCTAATAAATAAACAGCTGTCATAGCTGACTTCAGCAAAGAATTTCTTCGAATTCTAAGGTTTTGTTCTTATTGCAGTGTGGCAGCTAGGCTTTCAGAGTTAACGACGAGCCCGTTGTGATGCCCAGCCTGGCAACTCGGACATGTCCCCGAATCAATCAAATTTTTTTCGATTTTCCTGATGATGTTATCAGAAGTAGTAAGATTCTCAGTCGCTGCACCTCAATAATGAGCAGAATCGATCACATAGTACAGTAAGTGGCAGGTTTTCATTTTAGCACTTTGATAAAATCTTCTCTCGAAGGTTCTAATCAGTTACTGTTAGTGCACGATTAAAAACTCGTAAGCATTATCATGTCTGGATATCATTGATTACTACCGTATATTAAATACGAACTAATTGAATCAAGGATTTTTACGCAAGAATCAACTATTGATCGGTCACATACTGTATCACTGTAAATCTTCAGGATGAATGGGATGTATCACAATACTTGCCTGATTTTACAAGCCGGAGCACAGGCTTCTATGCGCCTTGGCTATTACGTGACACTTCCCAGGAATTGGAATTCTTTGGTGGAAGTGCCATTCTGTTTGGCTCTCAGCAAGGTGAGGCAATACAATAATACGTCTTCAGAGTCGGTTGAGAATGGACACTGCCAAGAGCCCTATCGCCCCTGTTAGCCTACTCCTATCCGATAAGGTCTTCTATGCTGAACGGAATTTCTTGTGAGAGCTAGATTCACCTGAAGTTTTCACGTTTCCACTAAGCGAACGATCTCCTGTAAGCCTGAGAAGTGCGGCCTTCTCACCTCTGCAACCATCTAGGAACGGCATAAAGACTGCCTTCCTGCCCTTTTTTACTTCTCGCACACAGTTTCTGTTTCAGACAGGTCGATGCCCTCGGGCTTTGGATGCAGATCATCTGGTATTGGTAGAAAGATGGCTGACTCTGCTAACGGAAGTGCTTGAACCGTTTCAAAATGTCAATCCTAGTCAGCTAGATGCTATTGCTCCAAGCCACACAATTTCGAGGGTCAGTGATGGATTGGTCCAACATCACTCAATAGTAAGTACAAATTCAAAGTGCTATTTAAATGTTCCGAATAGTTCCTGTCGTGGTTTACATTGAGTGAAGAGAACCTTTTCATTACAATCTTGGTCTCCGAAACGGCTAGATCCCCTTTTGGTGAAAACGTAGTTGGGGGGTGCCAGTGCCCTTTTGTGCTCTGCGTCTCTTCATTTCCTACCCCATCTAATCATCTCACCCATCCCGGAGCTCCTCCCCTTCTAAAAGTTAGGGAAGGAGCTCCGCGGTGGGTGAATCGGTTGGATGTTCAATTCTTACCCCATCCCAGCTTTTTGCACAAGATAATCATCTCTCCCATCCCGGAGCTCCTCCCCTAACTTTTAGAAGGGGAGGAATCCATCTCTGCGATCTCTATGCACCCTGCCGCCGGTGTCAGAGACGCAGAGCGCAAAAGGGCGCTGGCACACCCCAACTACATTTTCGCCCCCCTTTTCATGCTCCATTGTGGAACCATTGAATGCAAAGAATTCGGCCCAACACATCCCCATATGAAATCGGCTCATTTTAGTGATTGTGTAGGCATCAAACAGGCCTACACATTGTGTTGAACTACTCCCTTGTTTCATCTAACATTACAGATCTCGAGTTCGAACTATCGCCATCAGTTCAGATGCAAATAATGACGTTTTCTCCGATGAGGACATATGATATAGAAAAGATTTCTAAAATATAAGCATTATACTAAATTGTGATCACATTTTTTTTTCAAAAATTTCACAAATAAAATTTTGTTGATGCGAACGAAAGCACGAAATATCAACTCCTGCTAAAAAATGTTGTGCAAGCGAGCAGTTCAAGTACCTCATCTCCATGACTATCGCACACGCAGCTTTTCAATTCACTGTTGTCCATGAGGAGCAATGCAAGATCTTGAACTTTGAATGGGTTCTGCTCCCTGACAAGGATTGAATCTATGCTACTGTAAAATAGTGCTGTTCAATGAAAGGATTGCATATCTGCAAGTGGAACAATGAGCAAACTTTCGCAGCGAAGCGGCTCAGGGTTGTGGAAAGCGATCTGATTAGGCATGAGCACAGCGGTAGTCATATTATAATGTAAACCCTATAACGTTTCTCCAAAACAGAACTCTTACAGAGAAAGATATACAAACATTGAAGGGCGAATAGGAACTAAAGATGATGGGATACCGAGGGAAGAAGTCATTCAGGCCTTCATCCTCGCTCATCCTAGCGAAAAAGAGTCTTGCTGAGCAGATTTTGCCGATTCGTCTGGATTTTCGGAAATGGTCGCCATCACATCAAGCCCTTTACCAAGGCCTCATCTGTACTGGAAAGGAATAATTCCTTGATCTAACCTTCATCGCTAATCAGAAACATGTAAATGTATCATGATTGATCAACCAAAACCATTTTTACATAATAACAATTTATAAGAACAAATAACAACTCAATTATCGGCTCCTCGTCGGGACTTGAGAACCTTTGAGACAATCTTCTGTTCTTCGAGGAGGAACGAACGGATGATGCGCTCCTTCACGGCATTGGGGGACAGGCACCCTCCGTATGTGCGAGAGACGGTTCTCTGGTTCTTCTTCAGTCTAGTAAGCTCACGTGGACGAGCAGGGGTAATCTAAAAGTGGCGAATCTATTAAGAAAGCAAACACGTTTTCAAGACAGCACATTGGATAGAACAAAAGAATATATAAAGGCTATGGTAAATAATTGGAAAACTTCTAGTATGATTGCAACTACCACGAATGAAATATTAAACAGCATAAACCACAAAACAGCTACTCAGAGTACTCGAACGGCAACGCTACTCAACCTCCAAGAATATGCTAGAACTGATAGTGAACGAGTTGATGTTCTTTTTTGAACACCAGATATCTAGCTTTTCTAAGAATTCTGGTTCAGTTTTCATTTCCATTTCATATGCCTGCTCTCACGTCCAGAAATCACCGAAATTAGTGTTTTCAAAAAAGTCAACTACGAAAAACAAAAGAAAACTAGAGAGGAAGACTGAGCACAATTAACACTGACATTATTCTGGGTGATGACCATTAAGCAAATGAAGCAAAAAATTCACTGAGGGTGTTTTGAAGCAAAAAGCTACGCTTACTGTATTCGTCCTACATTTGAACAAATCCGCTCCTCTATCCAAGGAACTTCGGTCCCACGGAAAAAAATAGTGCCAACTAATTTCGGCGGCTAACCACCAGCACAGTAGATAGAAAATGTTTGGAAGGTGTAACCATAGTCAGAATACGTATCATAGTCGTTTCCAACAGAACCACAACTTGGTCGGGCATGCGAAGACCTAACCGAACCAACCACCTTAACATCCAACTCAAGGACGAAATACAGTGATAAGCTGTCATTGCATATTTCTCAGTCGAGAATCAAAGCATTAGTTTGTAATCAAATCTGCATGATTAGGGGGGTGGGGGGAGACAATGGGTGAAATGATTACCTCGTGCAAAAATCCGGAACGGAGGAAGATTTAGACATTTAGTCAACTAGTTGACATTGATTAAATTCTAAAAACGATTAAGGTTGGCGCGCTGGCATACTTCTGCCGAGAGAAGTCACCCACCTCGGTTTTATTGTCTTCTAAGGCTCAGATAATAGAGGTACGAGTTGCTACTCTGTATCCTTTTAAAGTCTAGCAAATGGAAAAAATAAAAAAAAGCATCTTCACACAATTTCAAGCCTATGCAGAAACATCATCCTAACCTGTAACATTCCGGTTTTTGGAGATATGAGCATAAAATTCCCTAAATGTAGCAATTAGCCGTATTCAGTTTCGTAATATCGCCCTAATGCTGCCTACACTTTGTTTTGACTTTGTGTTTTGTTAACGTCTCAGTCGAAAAAAAAAACCAAGATTCAGTCACAATTGCCTTTTTTCTGTTGTGAAAGTCGTGCATCGTGTCCAAACGATTTTTCAACTCTAAGAGGCGAATGGGCTCTTTTACGACATTGATATATTAAACGTGAGGAGCTTGAATTAGATAGAAGCAAATTCGGCCCAGATGCGTTTGATGATGTTCAGAAACACATGGTCAGCTGAAATTAATTCTAAATAAACATGCAAAATTATAATACACAGTTATAATTGACATTTCCCCGCTCGCTTACTACAGTGTAGATACTGTGAATTATTGCGGGGATAAGCTTAAAACTTGTTAAAGGAGATATGTATTTTCGACTTTGTGAAAACTGTGCAGAGAAAGATGAAAACCAGGATTCTTAAGATTCCCATAGAGACTCGGAGCCTATAAGCATATTCTGAAGAAAACGCTTAAATTGACAACAAGTGATCTTAGACGAACCCGATAAGGTTAAAGCAGTACTTTTATGACGCTATTATAGTATGTTCTCAAAATTGCTTTCGCATCAGATAACAGAATAATTAGGATCTGGATCACCAAACTTCCTGAGCAAGATTTCACAAACTTTTTGCAGCTTCTCTCAATCCATAGGTATCTGTTTCGTATTGAGAATTCACCTAATCACTAAAGCAATCCCAGATTATGCACACAACCACAAAAAGTACGACTTAGAGAGTGCCGCAGAGGGGAACATTTGCATTAAAGCTTATTCTGGTTTCAATGAATACTTCATTTTAGGAGCATCATGCAATCACAATGGGGTTGGGCGAAAAAAAGTTTCCTAGTTCACAGCAATTTCTTTGAAAATAGTGTGATAAATATGGTTCGCAGGCCTATCGCGGACAAAGACTAATGAGCATCTAGTGGTGTTCGCGATTAAAAGTTTATATAAATTGTCACAGCCTGTGATTACGTGAGAAAAGATACAACAGTCGACCATCCATATGCTTTATGCTGCTTCCTTCAGGTTCTAACAATTCAAAAAAAAANAAAAAAAAATGCGAAGGGCAAAAATGAGTTAAGCTCATTTCCACGCCAGTTACGGAACAAAGTTTAGATAACCAAGTAAAAAAACATGGTTGCACTTTATAAAGTAAAAATGAAAAGAACCGAGCGTACTCACCAAGCAAGAAAAAAATGCCACGATCTACATAAAAGTAACTACTTACTCCGTGAAGCTTGACTCCGGTGTCTTTACATCTCGGCACAGATCCGCGTTTTTTCAAGTACTGGTAAATCAGCCTACCACCAGGAGTTTTCACGATTTTACATTTATTGGATCTAGTATTGTATGACAATCTACGTCTGTAAGTGACGCGTTGAGCCATATTACCTGAACAAAATGAAAATATAGTTAGTCGCAAAGCACAACCGAACTTAAACGCGATAGCGAAATCACATCAACGTGCCTCCCCAGTTCGCAGACTTCAAAAACTTGACATAAACGAATCGATAAACAACCAAATGCCCAACAAAACAACATCTTGAATAAAGCCAAACAAGATACACAATTATACAAAATAAAAATAATTGAAATTTTAGGCTGAGGTTGCTGCCTTGCGTGTTGTGTGGATTACGGTAGGCGCATGCTGCGTACATTTTACGCGCCAATTCGAATTGGTAATTTTCGAAGATCAATATGCAGCCGGCTGGACATTTAGCCTTGTTAAGGATCGATCCATTTTGACATCCTTCAGTTTCCCAGCTATCCTGGTTTCAGGGTCTATCAAAATATCCGAAGTTCAAAGCAACTTATGGTCCTAAAATACATTAAAATGCTCAGACAGCACAGTCTTCGGACAAGAATGGCTGGTAGCCTTTCTGCAACAATACTTGCTCATTGAGCATATTCCGCTTATATAGTAGAGCTTCCATAATCCGCCTAACAAAGCTGCTAAGAAAGAATTTCCCCGAACCTCTTTCGTACCTGCAGTTCCCCTGAAGGAATGAATGGCGTACGTTGCTTTGAACGTGCTTTATATTCACTTGTTTGTTTGTGTACCACTCATTGTAACTAGTATATATTTAGACTTTTGAAACCTAAATGAACTCGATTTCCTCGAATTTGCCTATCATTTTCTCATAAAACTAATTATAAAAGGGATACACCGTTACGTCGCGATTCGCGCTGCTACAGTGCATTTCTGCATTTTTATCATACTTGCCCACTTCAGCTTTTCACCATCACCCTCAAACTTCATTTCTTTCTATCAATGGGTTTTTGTGACTTTCCCACTCGTCTTTTTCACAACTTTTTGTTCATTATTTACTTGGCTGCCAAACCCTTAGTAATTTTACTCCCCTCAACTGCTCTTTGCTGATCACGGTCGCTTCACCTGGACTGATTTTTAGTTGCTTTTCGAGAGCATTATTCTTTATTTTTTCACATCATTGCTAGATTTGTATAAACATCAATCAGCATTGTAATCATTTCAAGTGACTGATTGAAGATCGAATTAATCATAACGAGGGCACTTGAGAGCAAGACCTTTACATCGTCTGCGTGCGTCTGTTTGATCTTTCCTTCTTAACTCTGATTTGTCTTCGAATTAAGCGCCTGTTAGTGTGATCAGAATTAACCACGAATGAACTCGAGTAAACTAATTATTTTCCTCTGCGAAACCTGTTCCTTGCAATTATATCAGCTAGATTGCGGCCTTAGAACCTCATTGCATTGTGTTCGTTTCACAGTCAGATTGATTTCCTTAAACTCAGCTGTCTTATGCATTGTTTGGACTAGGCACCCTTAAATAGCTTAGTTTTATAACAGTTGCCTTGCGCTGAGCAATCCTTCCATAAGGTGCGCCATGCCTTCACTTCCGCCGGAAGTGTAGTGGCATTTGCATGCTCATTTCACCCCACACATGCCATATTGTGGTGGCCAAGCATAAAAGAGTTCTCTATTTTCTCAGCAAAATTTGTGGGCAGGTCGTTGATCTGGTAGGGCAAAAGGATAAGTACTACAAACATGAAGTTTAGTGGTTTGGTTCTCATGTTTCAACCCCCACTTCTGTCTCTACTCGTAGAGAAAACGTACCCGATACCGAAGTAAAGTCGAGTACGTGGCGCATCCAAAAGCAGCTATCACGGCTGAGCACTTCAAGTTTATTCTGACAGGGATTTTTTTTCTAGCAGATGACCTTCTGTATGTTCCTTTATCATATTTGTCCCAGACGATAAATGGCTGTCTGTCTCAATGGGATCGATTAGCTATAAAAAAAAGCAAACGCATTGCGACATTTTCAGCTGTGGCCGGACGATTCGTTGCATCGATTCGGTCGTTTTCACTGGCCGTCGAATTCGCTGACAGGGCCGTCTCTGGCTGTTGCTGGTGCATAGAGACTGCACGCCTTCGACCCTTGCTAATCTGATACTGTTCTTTGCCAAACTACATACCGCCCCTGTCCGTGATTCTTCGGTTGCGTTCGGGTGTTTTTTCCTAGGTGACACACGACACGTCGCCCTGCTTGTGACAGCTTGTCGCCTGCCTTAGTTATCGGATACCCCTTTGTTTTTGTTTAGTTTTTGTTTAGTTGCTCCTGTGCCCTGCCTTCGTTAACCCTAGTGCCAGCCTTCACTTCGATGTCTTTCTCCCATACTAATGAGATTATTTGGTGAGTCCGACATTCTTGAGTTTTGGAACCAGGAAAGTATGTGTTGATCAATACCTTGGGATGCGCCACACATTTGACCTTCACCTAAAATCCTTGACCTTCAATGGGGTAACGAGGTCAAGTATGTGAAGTGGGAAGCATATCGAGTATCGCATTTAGGCCTTTGGTAGAGGCATTGTATTTGATCAGCATGTTTTATTAGATCGTAAAGTGCAGGCCATGGTATTCACCATTCACGTCAGCGTTGGCTGTGTCAAGAGTGTAGGAGGGCGAGNTCGATGTCTTTCTCCTATACTAATGAGATTATTTGGTGAGTCCGACGTTTTTGAGCTTTGGTACCCGGAAAGTATGTGTTGATCAATACCTCGGGATGCGCCACACTTTTGACCTTCACCTAAAATCCTTGGCCTTCAATGGGGTAACGAGGTCAAGTATGTGAAGTGGGAAGCATATCGAGTATCGCATTTAGGCCTTTGGTAGAGGCATTTTATTTGATCAGCATGTTTTATTAGATCGTAAAGTGCAGGCCATGGTATTCACCATTCACGTCAGCGTTGGCTGTGTCAAGAGTGTAGGCGGGCGAGTGAGGCATCTGAGTGGTACCGTATTGAGCAAACCAACAGGTTTGTCGAAAAGGCAACGAGGAAGGAAGGTTTTACTTGCAGCGGGTGAACCAAAACACTCAAAATGACTTCAAAAGCTCTCTATTTATTACAATATTAGACTATGTATTGGCAGGTTCGGCCAGAGCAGGCGTAATCTAACATCCGCCTCCAACAGGTTGAGGCAGGAACATATTTGGTCAGATCTCTTCTTCATAACTCAACGTCATCTCTTTTCGAGTTTCATTCCATTTGCATTTTAAGAATTTGCCACAGTTTTCGTCTTGAACATTTCCTCCATCTCTTTCTTTCCTTCCTTCTCAAGTTCTAATAAGAAAAGTGATGATCGGGAATTTTGCCGGAGCTATGGAGTGATTCATCATGTCCGTCAGAGCTATCCTTTGTCGATGCGATGTATCATTTCACGATATTCACTTTATGCTAATGAAGTGAATGGAAAGTTCGGATTCTTGCAAACAATTCCTGAAAACCTGAACCTCGCAAAGCATCCTAATCTCTCGCAAAGGTCTCGGATTACCCAACTGGCCAGGTCCGCAAATGTGGGAAAATTTCGGAGAGGATCAGTATTCAGTCCATAACCTTTCACTTTTCTGCATACCAACACGTCCCTTAGAAAGTCGGTGGACAAAGCTCAGAATATTTATCCGTAAACGGGGTGGTACTCGTGCTATTCTATAATATCTGCTGTTTTGGTCGAATTTTAATATTGTCATAGAGGGACAAAGAATTGTGGGGAAAACGCTCAATTTCGCAACGAGTTTACATTAATTTTTGTATTCATCAACGCGCTAGGGGATCAATTTTTGGTCGAATTCCAGCATTCAGATGCCATTTTCGGCAACCTCTCATTGTAGGCTTATCATTCGTAATCGTTGAGCTTTAACGACAAAGTTAGAAAATTTCTGTTCAATGTTTAGAGTTCCATGGTGATTCATTTTCTGAACAGCTACTATCCCGTTAGAACTTTTGGTTTCAATGCAAGACCCCTCATGCTAGTTTTGGAACGTCATAGAAAATGACGCATTCGATATGTTGAAGAAAGCGGAATAAACATCCCTCGAGATCGCTAAACAACATTGTATTACGATTTTTGATGACGTGAAGCTGATTTGCATTCTTAGGTTTGTGAATTATTTGAATAGGTTACATGCTTCGAATTTTTGACTGCCTTCCAAGGCATTGAGAATCGCTTCGGAATAGTGTATGTTTTAGACATTCTGCCCTCGCTTTGGAATAATTCCGAAATTCCATAATAATTCAGAAATATGTGCAACCATCTAGCGCCCACCCATTGAGCGCTGCGGCTAGAACGCCATCAATTTGCCCCATTATTCATGCAGTTTTTTTCTACTTT